ACAGTTGGACAAAACCTAACAAGATGCCCCTCAACTCCGCATCTCTTACAAAGCAAAGATTTAGGAGCTTGACTTCTCTGCTCCATGGCAGTAATTCTACCCTGCAATCCTCGAACTTCATCCTCTATGGTGTGCATCATGGAGAGCAACTCGTCTCTTTCAGGTTCCTCCTTAACAGCCAGAATTTGATGGTCCTTCTGCTTTGGCTTCAGCCCCCGTCGAATTCTTTCAGACTCTTGATAAGACTCTTCCCTCAAAGCTTCCTCAATCGCTTTATCCAAAGTCTCTGGTTTTCCACTATGAACTGCATGCCTCAATTCCTCATCTGGGATTGCTTGCTCAAAGCTCCGCCGAGCTAACCTGTCTTGAGCGGGCCTATTCATTTCTGGGTAGGCTAAGGAGGTCAGTCGGCGAATGCTCTGCCCCAAACTCTGCAATGATTCACTTGGTTTTCTCCGCCTGCTACATAACTCAGCTTCATAGACCTCTGCTTTACCCCCAGGTCCAAATCTATTATCCAGTGCCTGTAGGAGATCCTCGTAGGTATATCCTTTGGCAAGCTCCAGTACAATTTGCTGAGCATCACCCCTCAGGTTAGTTGCCAAATACTGTCGTTTCTCATCTGAAGTCCAGTTGTTGTTTTCAACACAAGTATCAAAGTAAGCTTTGTAATCTAACCATGGTGAACTACCATCGAATGTCTGTGTGGGTTTTATTCTTGCCTTTCTCTCTGAGTGATTGGAACTCAGAGCCTTCTCACACATCTTCATAGCTTGCTCAGCAATTAGTAGAGCTCTATTATTCTCCCCTGTTGTCGAATCTTCTGTCTTCACGACTTCTTTTCCAGGCCCTTTTCCGGAGATATCCTGCTCTGGAATATTTGGAGCTGGCCTTCTCTCCTGTGGAACGACCCCCAAGAAACTCTTTTGTCTCACTGAGGGTGAAAACACTCCTTCCTGTGTAAGGCCACTCTTCTGTTTGGCATCTTGAAATACCTCCATAGAAGCTGCACAGGGCACGTTTGAAGGGGAACTCTTTGACAATCTCACATTTACCTCCTGATTATCTCTAGGCACTCGCCTATGAGACGAAAGCTCCTGGTGCTCCACCCACTGAGCAATCCCCGGCACCCTCGAGTTCGCCAAAACCCTTCTTTCTACTTCTGGGAAAGGAACTGGACTTCTTGTTTCATCATGTGTCCACCTGCTCTTCTGGGACATCCCTTCAATAGTCATCATTGGTCTAAAAGGGGAGAGCCTCTCATCTCTAAGGTTCCTCCCTGTTTCAGTGGTGAGCCTTTGCTCTTGACTCCCTAATAGCTGGACAGTCTCCCTATGAGCATCTGGACTCGGTCGACTTCCTCTCTCTGTTTCCATATCTCTCTCAATTCCAGCAGTGCATCTCTTGCTGGACATTCGGTTTGGAGTGGAGAACCGGGAAGAAACACCCGAAGACACCAACCTTGCTAATGTTTCATTTATCTGTCCCATCCCTTCCTTCATCTCCTGTCTTATTTCATCTTTCATCTCATGTTGATTTTGTTGAGCCTCATATTGGCTTTGACGCATCTCCAGTTTCATCGCATCTTGATTTTGTCGCAACTCTAATTTCAACTCATTTTGACTCTGCTTCACTGCAAACTTCATCTCATCTCTCATTTCATCCTGGTGTTGAAACTGTAATCTCATATGATAACTCTGGGAAGCGAATCCATCCTTAATCACCTGCACATCTTGCTTCAGAGAGTCCACATCCTGACCCATCTTAGAAATCTCAAACTTGGTCTTCTTTCGTGCCTCATCAATCGATGGGAGTTTCTGGGGCAATCCAAGATCACTTTTGATCCCGGTTGAAGTAACTGGACACTCTTGGTCGTGTCTACCTCGTGCTCCTGGGGTTTGAAATCGGGAGGGAGCAAACTCACTCTCTACCTGTGACATGGTCCAATACCCTGTACTGTCTCTGGCCTCCCTCCTCACTGGTATCGGCGCAGGCAGCTGGGATGCTGTTTCTCTTCCACCCACAGCTCCATGTCTCTCTTGCTCAGGAAAGGAATCCTTCGACTCCAAAGGCAGAGTATCCTGAGCTTCCAACTGAAGATCTCTTGGACCACCCTTGAAGACTACGGTATCATCTGATTCAGGTGTCCTTCTGATTGTCCCCTTTGGGTCAACCACAGGATCCTCAATCAACTTACTATGCTCCAAAGTTCGAGGACTTCCCTCGGATTCTCTTATCTCCATCTTCTGCTCCATCTTCAAATCTCAGTGAAAATCCCACCGCTGCCACCAATGTCGCGCGCCAGACCTCTGCCAAGAACCCGTACCCTCTCGGAGAAAGTCTGGTGGCGATGTTTAGGGATTCGGAGGTGTTTTTCACGGGCGCCGAGCTTGTTTGGTGCTTCAGCTGTCACTGGGACTCAGAGATGGCATTTACATGTACAAAACAATGTTATACGGGATTTTTATACTCTATTTCAACACACATTTAATAACAGTAAACTTCAAAATGTCTTTCATGCCTTTATGGCTTACAAATATTAAAAAAATGTCTATAATGGGGTCAGCTATCTCAAAGATTCACTCAGCTCCGAAAACAAATCACACCCTCTGGAGTAGCTCAGCTCCGGAATGTATTACAGCTCTTCTGAAGTATCCCTGCTCTGGGATGTATAACGCCTCTTCTGGAGTATCTCTGCTTTGGGATGTAATACGCCTCTTCTGGAGTATCCCTGCTCTGGGATGTATAACGCCTCTTCTGGAGTATCCCTGCTCTGGGATGTATAACGCCTCTTCTGGAGTATCCCTGCTCTGGGATGTATAACGCCTCTTCTGGAGTATCCCTGCTCTGGGATGTATAACGCCTCTTCTGGAGTATCCCTGCTCTAGGATGTATAACACCTCTTCTGGAGTATCCCTGCTCTAGGATGTATAACACCTCTTCTGGAGTTCCTCTACTCGGAGATATAAAACTCGGGAATGTCAATCCCTAAGGAGATTAGACCGGAGTTGAATACCTCTTCGGGAGTATCTCTGCTCCGAAAGGAATAATGGACACACCTTCTAGAGTATTTATGCTCTGAGATATAAAACTCGGGAATGTCAATCCCTAAGGAGATTAGACCAGAGTTAAATAACTCACGGAAGTAATCCAAGATGGCGGATCAAGGGGAATTCTGGGTAGCAGAAGGGTGAAGTCACAAAATGGCTACTCAAAACTGTATGATCCAATATGGCGATCAACAGAGACGAAAGCAGGACCATAAATTTCAGTTATAAATGATGTAAATGTCTATAACAATTGGAAATGTCAATCCCTAAGGAGATTAGATCCCACGTTAATAGACCATAAAAAAAACTCTCTGGAGATCAAAGTGTAAATAGTAAATTATAACTCACCAACACTTTGGCCATACAAGCGCAACAAATATAATCCAAATACTTTATACTGTACATAAATCCTATCGCTACACGATCATCAACTGCTCCTTGTATTCTATTAAATACACACCAACAAAATAATCCAATAAAGTCCTTTACACATGTGTCTGCTATATTCCAATGTCCACACTGCGCGAGGTCTTGTCCATTCAACTTCCCAAGATCAACTGCGCACATGGGCCAGATTCTATGCTATCTCTCCTGTCTGATGATATGCAGCGGGAAACCCTCTGATTGGCTGAACTAGTTTGTTTATCCCATTTGGTGCTGCATTCTGGGTAACTTGCCTCTGACTGTCTGGCAAATATTCAAATTTCGTACAGGTTGAACAATTCTAATTGCAAGGGTTCCTCCAGCAACCAGAGCAAAGGACATCTTTACATCGTACATATATGAGCAATTTAACTCCACAAATGAGTCAATTGACTCTACATATAAAAAATGGCTAAATTAATAAATGCAATGATACAACATCTTCAGAATGACATAGTCCATGTAACATAAAATCACTAGCGAAACAAATTTTGTCACAATACAGTTCCAATTTTTGACTAAATTTCAAACATCTTGAAGTTTGGATTTTATTCTGGTATGCATGGATTAAAGAATAATGAAAGAAAGAAAATGAAGTGCTGATTATGCATCCAGCTATTTAATATTCACAAATATATACGTTGCCGTAATGCCGTCAATCTGGGAAAATATTTTGTCATCTGTCATTAAAATTAAATTCAATGCGTTCTGAGACCCCGAAAGATTTGGTTCAAGGAGAAACACTGTAATTGAGATTTTCAAGTTGACGTTATCAAAATAAGTAGTAAAATCCCTGCGACCTGAAAGTTATATTTTACATTTGGTGCAGCTCGAAGGGATTTTACTACCATCATCCGACCTCCCTGCCTCAAGTTGAAGGCTTGACCCAATTAGTTTGTCTACTTCCACATGCGTTTTCGGAGACGGCTCCCAATTACCCACAGATATTATAGCGATTCGCGAACTCTTCTCACCCTTCTTAATCGGTTTTGATTTCTATATACCTCCCATATACCTCCCAAGAGCTGCCATATAGCAGGTAAGTGGTACTGATGCAGGTAACCATAGTAATCATTATGCAATAGAATGGAAATTCCTCCGTAAATAGTTATGGACAGGGTCTGAGGTGCCTATAAAGTTACGGAAAAAGAAGGCTATGACGTCATGAATATCGTAAACTTACGGAAATCCCACAAAATCCCGTGAATTTGCGATTTTTCGAGAAATGCAATCTCTCCGTAAGTTTGAGAAAGAACAATGGACTTACGGATCCGTAATTTTACGGAGTTTGGAGAAATAGACCCCTGGTTAGTAGTGAGGTTAGGTTTATGGTGAATGGTAAATTCTATACGGCATATGGTATATTATTGATGTTTGACCAATCACAAAATGTTTCTCTGACAAGGGCTGAACCAAATGCTGAAATCTGATTGGTCAAAGTGAAACATCAATAATATACCATATGCCATATAGGATTTACAGGCGTCCTTAGGTTTATTGCAGCGAGGAAGGCATATCAATGGTGGAGTGATACCCCGATTCATTATATTTGGCGCGAATAATTTGAAAAAAATAATCTGGTGAGTAAATTTAGATCCTGGAGCTAATTTGTTAATTTATTTAACAATTAGCTTTATTGTAATGTGAAAATATCATCGAACTACAAAAGAAAGCTTAGTTTGTACTCATTGATTGTGTAAATTGAACTTTTACTCTTGAATTATGTTATTATGACAATATCTGAACCATATTATCACCCACCATTTCACTTTGACTTTGACAAATGTGTAGGCCTGAGCTGCATTTTGAGGGTAACTAGCCTAGTTGGAGACTACCATCGCATATGATAATCATTCTGATCCTCAGACCATCCCTGCCTCATAGTGAACACCATCTAGTAATGATCTCTATATTGAAAGAAGATGCAAGAGAGATCAATAGATGGTGTTCACTGTGCCCTGCCTACTAGAAAAGAACTGCTATGAGGCTGTCTCATGTATCTATCACAATTCGTCAGGCCATCCAACTGTCCTGCAAATTGCGCATTTGTCACGCATTTGCTGGAAAAGTTGAAGTCACGCCAGTTACTTTTGTGTGACCTTAGATCTATGTCACGCAAACACAGATTTTACCTGATTATTGTAAGCAAAAATATTTTTGTAGAAAAACTTCAAAAAAGTGATTGCCGATACAGCAAAAAAAACGAGAGCCAAAAAACCAACGCATTTCATTCGACTTTTCACGCAGATACCATATATGTCACGCATTTTCATCAAAATATTTTCGTACCTACCCAGATTTGGACCAAGGTGTCCACAATTTGAAGAAAGGTGTTCGACATTTGTAAATCACTCATGTTGGGTGGTCCCAAGTTGACATGCCTGTACAGTCCAAATAGCATTCATTCAAACCTAATAAAATAAGCAAACAAAGGACCTCAGTGCAATAATTTGACCACAGTGTAATAATATTCTGTAGGAAAAAGGTCCTGGGACTGGATAAGCCTCTTGTATTGTTTGTATTTCTATGCTTCTCCAACATGTTGTTTACGAAAAATTCACAAGGCTGAAAATCACAGATGGTATAGCATATTTTTTTTTCGGGGGGGGGGGGGGGTACAATATATAGAATAGAAAAGTGTGGCAGTAGAGATCGCCCAGAGCTCGCAAAAATTGACTTCTGGGTTTTGGAAGTAGGATCATCTCTCCTTTTGAAACCTGCACCACTGTCTTTCACCAAAGTGCGCTACTGGTATGCAGTGTCATTGGCCTTTAACAGTCATCTCCAGTGTCTCTTAACATAGAGAGACTTCCATGGGGGTACATGGGCCAACCGAGAAGTTTCCTCCCAAATTTTAAATGATTTGATACCAAAAACCATAGATCTACGTTGAAACGTTAAGGTTCGAATCATAATCTATTCAAATTCTACTATCAAATTATATATCTGCTTTAAATGGGCTTATTAGGCTTTTGCAGATTATTGACATGGTCGGCTGTATTTTTGGTTTGTCTGCCAATCCGTCCATTTGAGTGTCTAGGTGGGTTGGTAGCTGATTGATCAAACTTTTTCATCAAAATTCTTCCAAAATGTTCAATTTCAAATTTTTACACATGGGGAAACAGACTTGTGCCAAAATTTGCTATGTTTTTGGCATGCATGATAAACTACTTGGTGGCCAATTTGAATTTTCAGTGCAATATTTATCACTGTGTATCTTGTTTAATTTTTCAGGTCCACAAGGGTCTAAAACACTGTATATAGTACTATAGACTAAATGCAGGGACTACATACTTTTATACTACTGTATTTGATAGAAATACACTGAAAGACAAAGATGGTGAAGGCACGATCAAAACGCAGGACAGCTTCATCAGATACAGGTAAGTTATTAACAATTTTATATATACAATGTGTCTCAAAAAAATGTTACACTTACAAAAAGTTCAATATCTTTCATAATTTTGACTTTTCCCCTAACATATAATTTGGATACCAAAAGACAAATCTTTCTCAAACAATTTGACACCATCAGATTCCAAATCTGTCCTTGATTGGCTCCACAGGACAGCTTTTAGTGTCCCATGGTAAAATCTGACTTGCGCCAACTTCTAAGTGATTGGATGGACCAAATGACAAAGAAGGAACAGTTTCTTTCTTCTGAGTAGAAGCTTGACCTTTAACTGAGTCATTCTGTAATTTTTTTCCTATTTGTCTTACATATCATCATTGCGTCTATCCACATAAACATGTGGTCCCCTCAACATGTTCTCCAAAGCAAATCTGAGGTACCCTTGCGCACATGCATTGAAATATCACAATGATTCCATAAATTATTTTTGCAGAATTTCATTTAGGTCAGTTTGTGATGCTGTAAAGTGCTTTCAGAGGCCCTTCAAAAAATCAAGGGTGTAAAGTGGGATGACCCTAGGGCCAATCCATTGGGTAATTCAATGCTATCTTCTGATTTCCAAAGAGTTCTATCAAACGATCTGCCACAGGCCTTTGCACCATCCCGTTGCCATCATACGCAACAAAATTAAATTGAACACTCTGACCATGAAATCTTGTATTTCTATCCAGGATTGAAACAACTGGATCATTGATCATATCAAGATATCACTGTCCACAGCATTCACACCAAAAAGGAATTTATCACCACATGTCCAACCACTGAGAAGTTGGCGCAAATCAGATTTCACACGTGTCTTTGAAATCTGTCCTGTTCAGCCAATCATGGACGGATTTTGAATCTGATGGTGTGGATTTATTCGAGAAAGACTGGTCTTTTGGTATCTAAGTATATTTTAGAGGAAAAGTCAAAATCATGAAAGAAATTGAACTTTTTGTAAGTGTAACATTTTTTTGAAACACACTGTAGAATGATGTTAGTTGAATTATTTACAACATAAATTCAATAGACCTTTCCAATAAAGCCTGGCCTCTTTTGGTGGACCAAGGAACTATGGAATATTCACTATCATTATTTCATACTCTGAAGTAAGCAATGTTTGTAACAAAATTGTAAAAAGTTTTGAAGTTGATCCTATTTCCGCTGGCCATGAAACTGTAAGAATGACATCAGAACAAGTGCTGTAATTTACTTGATTGGTTTATTCTAGTCATGTCTACAGTGTACATATGTATAAGGCAGCATAAATTGTAATTATCACAGATTTTCTGCAAGTCCATTTAATTATAGACTTAATATGTTTTTAAATATTGAAACTAAAGCAGAAACTGCAGTTGTGAATTTTGTTTTTGCTACAGTGATCCATGACAGTTATGTCCTTGCTTGCAGTTTGGTGGGTAAGATTCCCAAATAAGCAAATTTTGACAATTTTCACTTTCATTTATTTATGCAATGTCTTACAGTAAATCAAATGTTTGTTTTATCTTAACCAGTTGGAGGTTCCCCGAGAAAAAAGGCTGCATCGGGAGATGACCAACATGACAGAAGTGTGTTTGGCCAACTTATCTCTGAAGCAGGATACTGCCTTAAGAAGGGAAACAGACAAAATGAAATCAGTAAGATTTTAGATGATGTGATAAGATATTGCTAACACACCACCGAAGTTACTTTTTTAACATTTTATGACTAGATATATGTAATTTGATGTGTAAACAGAGTTTATATATTCAGTGAAATCTGAATTGCAACCATAAAAGATTAATGATCACATTCAGGCCCATAGCCAGGGGTTTACTCTGCTCCCCCCACCCTGGCCAAAAATCCTTTCAAAATCATGCAGTCTTTAACAATTCTGAGCACTTTTCAAGTGATTTTGACCCTTTTTGGGGCAAAGCAGTCATAAATGAACCCTCCTGGAATTCTTTATAAAGTGCCCCCCTTGGCAAATCCTGGCTACAGGCCTGACATTCATTTACCTGACATGGTTGTCCATAATGCTTTGCTTTAATTGCAGAAGTGGATCAGGTGATGTTCCAGAGGAATTTAACTGCTGCAATAAAAGATCATGGGAATTACCCTTCTGTAGTGGAGGAGTTTGCAGAGGCATTCAGAACACATATTGAAGATCAAAATAGGTAATGTTTCCCCAACTACTGATAGATTTGTGCTTCATCTATGAATTATGAACTTTTGATCTGAAATCCCATCATGCTCCTTGTTCAAATATAGTTTCTACAAACTTGTTGCATTTTAAACAAAACACCAGAACCAGTTCATTGTTTTCAGATAGAGAGTACTTTATTTTATGTGGTGACATTGATGTGCCTTGCTGGCGAAGGACACTTCAAGTTAAATTCTTGGATGTCTACCACTTTTACTATGGTAGAACTCTTCAAACTGGTTTTGAAAATCCGTCTTGGTAACAAAATGTTGCAGCCTTTGAGGTACTTTTTTCTTTGTACTGTGCATGATTTCACGAGATGTAGGCAGAGTCTTCGTGAAAAGGTTGTGAAGATTCTGCCTGCATCTCGTGAAATCGTGGAAAAAGAAAAATTGTACCTTCAAGGCCACGGCATTTTGTTATCGAAATTGATCTATTTTCTGAGACACTTTGAAGAGTTCTACCAAAGTGACTATACATTATGAAACATATAATCCTTGACATCTGGTAGCCTTTATATGCCTTGTTTTATATCTTTCAAATGAGTAAGTACTGTTTGAGTTTTATTCTTAATGGATTATTCTCTATCTATTTAGATTGAAATGGTGTTTGATGCCTACGCTTACAGCAAGCAATTGTGAAGAAAGGTAATTGTTTTGACAATCTAAAATGGGTATACCACAACACTTACGAACAACTCAGTCTCAGTTTAAATTAGCGCCACCTATTTTTATAATAATCAACTTATGTGTTATAATGGAATTAGCAGCACCATTTACATACTTTGAGCATCTGTGATGGAACACTTCAATATGTCAAGATCATAAAGTCAAGATTTGACAACATATCATTTCAGAGTTCTATTATATGACCCATTGGCCCATTTAGATTGTTAATTAACTTCTGTAACGTCTTCCTTGTGGAACATTTTGCAGAGTCCCTTGACCCATTTCCTTTATTTTAAGTCAACCTCTGGAAAGTAAATGACACATCTCCAAAGAGGAGCACTTTTTCGAGGTACCAAAGGTGTTCCACTTAAGAAGAGAACTTTTTAGAGGAACCAAAGGTGTTTCACTTAAGAGTAGCACTTTTTAGAGGTACCAAATGTGTTCCACTTAAGAGGAGAACTTTTTAGATGTACCAAAGGTGTTTCACTTAAGAGTAGCACTTTTTAGAGGTACCAAATGTGTTCCACTTAAGAGGAGCAATTTGAGAGGTACCAAAGGTGTTTCACTTAAGAGGAGCACTTTTTAGAGGTACCAAAGGTGTTCCACTTAAGAGGAGCACTTTTTAGAGGTACCAATAGTGTTCCACTTAAGAGCAGCACTTTTTAGAGGTACCAAATGTGTTCCACTTAAGAGACACAATTTTTAGAGAAACAAAGGTGTTCCACTTAAAAAGGTGTTCCACTTAAGAGGCGCAATTTTTAGACAAACAAAGGTGTTCCACTTGAGAGGAGCACTCTTTAGAGGTACTAAAGGTGCTCCACTTAAAAGGAGCACTTTTTACTAGAGGTACCAAAGGTGTTCCAATTTTAAAAAATGTTATTTTTGTGTTAATTTTTCTCTATATATTTCTAGCGCCAGGGGAGGGAACCAAGACAGCCTTGTTAGAATGATCTTCCACATAGATTCCCTTCAGGTATGTATTTTGTCAAATAGACATAAATAATGATTAGCATGCATGTTTCCTTTCATATAGAACAATTTATTGCTAGTATTGCTTATATTCATTAATTGATGTCCAAGAATAAATTATATGGAATATAGAATGAAAAAAATTCTAGATCAACAGTAGAACATATATTTTCATGTTTTTTTCAGACTTCGATGATGCACGTTCTTCTTGAGAAGCTGGCAGAGTTCAGCGCAGATGATTCTAATGTGTTGGAGGGTACAGAAACATTTAATCTACCACGTCTTATCCTCAACCAGTTCAGGTGGCTTGATAGAATTGTCAACTGCCAGGTATGTCATAATGTATATAATACATGTTATATCATATTTAGAGATGCCATTGATCTCCTTAGCTTTGATGCAGCTTTTAGAAATATAACTTGTATTCACTTCAAAACCCATTTTTGCCCACTTGAAAGTGATATGAATTATGAAACTTTTAATTTGCATAGTTTGACCGTTTTTGGACAGAATTGTGAAAATGCGAAAGGATGGGGAGTTGTTTGTCAAATGAATCAGGGTCGTTTTTTCATGCATTTCGCTTATGTTTTCATCCTAAAAACATCAATACACTTTAAAACATTTTATTGACTATAAGATTGCACCATATATCCCCATATGCCCCCCCCCCCTTTGCACTTCATGTAAAGGACATAGGATTCTCTATGAGGTAAAAAAGTAATACTGTATGTATATGTAGGAGTAGAGCTGTTTAAGCAGTTTATGGCTTCATAGGTAGCTGGCATTTATTTATTTCATCAAGTCTTAGAAATATATTTTTTTTAGATTTTTCCATTTTTTATGTCACCGCCAGAAGTGGTGACATATTGTTATACTCTCCAACTTTTTTATGGACAGTGTTCAGCGTTCAGAGTTCCGCGTCTGTAACAAGTTCTTACAACTTCCAATAACTTAGTAGTATTATTCAACCATCTGCAATAACTTACAAGGTGGTGACATTTTGTCATGTTTTAATATGCCTTGTTATATTTCAACTAACTGATATATATAACACATGTACAGTATTTATTTATCTTGTAAAGGAATTAGAAAGGATAGAGAGAGAGTAAAAGCATGCTAATATTTTATTTCAATGTGTAAAAGGATTTACCTTGAAATATAGTCAGAACTGTTGGACATTTCAGAAAATAGGCATTACATGGAATGATGAAAGCAAAAAATGGTATTATGAAATTTGACAATTTTTGAAACATTCAACCCATTTTTATCCCTTCTATTCCCTTTGAGATCTGAAAGTTTTTGATTTTGTAAAAAGTACTTATATTATGCTCCCATCTTTTGATCATTATTGAACATTTTCCTTTAGTTGTTTCTTTTCTGTCAAGTTCAGTCTGATGATGAACTGTTACTTTTTTGCATTCTTTGAACACATTTTTAAGTGGTGGAAATTCATTGAGCTTAGTAGTGTTATATTTGGTGATTATCTTAGTATGAGCCCCATTATCATGACATCATCAATCATGGGTAGAATATTGTTTATACATTTTTGGCTCACACAGTCAGCCTATGGAATCGACCAGGCGTCCATCCGTCCGTTGGTCTGTCTGTCCATCCGTCCGTTGGTCCGTCCGTCCATCCGTTGGTCTGTCCATCAAAGGTCATCAAACTAGGTCACACAACTGTTCTATCTAAGTTTCTCAAAGTTCGAGACTACAAATCCAAATCAATTTTTTTTTTGTCAGGATATGCATTCTTCTGAAGGTTCCAAACTGTGTGAGCACAGGACCATGTGTCCTTCATTTTGTAACTGGCATTTGGTGCTCAGTGTCCAGGCCTGAAGCCAACTTTTGTCAAGGGGTTCACTTTTCAAAAAATTCCAGGTGGGTTCAGGTTTAACAAATTTAGCCCAAAATCACAGGAAAAGTGCTCAGAACGGTGAGAAGCTGCATGATTTTGAAAGAATTTTTAACCCTGAACCCCCCTGGCTACGGGTCCGGTGTTTGCATTGATGTTGATGACAAATTGCTATAATGTTTGTCATTGCTACTGGTGGCCTTTGTCATGTTATGATGTCTAATGTGTTCATTTTGATATCATAGGACATGTCATTTATGGGTTATATTATGTCCAGTTAACCAATTTAATTAATCTCATTTCTGATATCAAGATCGAATAGCTGAAATACTGTGAATTCATCTTCCATTGTATTAGAAAGTCTCCTGAAACACACTTTGCTTTGGTCTTGTTCAATGCAATTTGGATCACACGACAGGTAGAGATCTTTATTCATAAAAGAGGCCAATCGCACTCTTCCAGCATCACCCTCTATTGATTTAACAATGAAAAGCCGCGGATCTTCGTCCACACGATGGGCATCTTTAGGGGGTGGTTTGCTCTCAATTAATGTAACAGATGGAGTTGGGATTTCTTTGTAGTTTTCCTGAAGTCGCAGGAAAATCTCCTTTTGATAAAGCATCATAATTCTCATGACCTCACCATCAGGCTCATCCATACCGCTGAATGTCAAACACATGAATTGGAAAGACGCTTCATCTTTTTTACGATTTGGAGCCAGCCAGACATTGTCCCCATCAATCTTCATAAACTTTCCAGTTTTGATGTGCTTCAGCTCAATCTGGATTGGGCCATTGAACTCAATCCCATCTATGTAATCAAAAGTGATAATCATTTGGTTAGTCCTATTCACCTCTTCTACTTTTTCCACTTCAACATCGCCACTAGCTGTAGCTTGAATTGTAATCTTAAGTTGTATATACTTCTCGTTAATTTCAAACACTGGATCTTCTCTGTTGATGGTTTTTCTGTAAACGAGAATATCTAGTTGCGTTTGGTTGAAGTTTTTCAGTGTATTCATCAAATTCTCATGACTGAAAAACTTCAGTGGCACTCCCATGAATTCACACAAAGCGTCACCCTCTTGAAGTTTCATCTTGTTAGCAAAAGCACCATCTTCAATCTTTGCAATTTCATGGATGTACATTTTGCCCTCCTTTTTGGTTAAAAGTTCTGCTTGTATGTTCAATCTTCTCTTGTTAGATGAAGGCATGGTACCATCAGTGGAGGTTAGGTCATTGGTAGAATGTTGTACTGGGTGGTACAGAAAGATATTCCCACTTCGAGTTGTCATTTTGTGAAAGTTCTTGGTATCTGAAACAAACATAGGAGTAAGTTATATGTGTAAAATACCAGTCTACATGTACTACTTGAGGTCTATTTTTAATGGCTTTTATTTTATAGCATGACTGGCTTTAATGTAAATGATGAAATGAAAGAAAAAAGTTGAATGCATCAATAACAAAATAAAGAAATTGTTGAACAGAACATTTTTTAGAGCTGTTCAGAACATTTAATAAATTCGACCTAGGTCATCATAGCACGTCTATCCAAGATATCGTGATCGATTTTTATTTCAAAAAGGCACTCTGTCTATGAAAGAGCAATAAAACAGACAAATCAGACATTAAAATGTTTATACCAATGAGAACAATTTTTGTTATAATTCTAAGTCTGAACATAGATTCTCTCTTTAAGCAACCTGAGTCTATGTGGAACAAAATAGCAAAAATAAATAAGTATTTTATAGTGTTTCAATGCATGCAGCTTTTACTAGCCCAATGATGACAGTATGTGAATTAAACCTGTTATCGCCCATTTTTTTCCAAATTTTTATTTTTGCTTAATTTTTGTTTCTCAGGCTATCAGGTCGTGTAAACCTGGAAACAGGTCAATGGTAGCTCCTGTGTTGTCTGGAAACTTTGAAAGAAAATTTGGAAAAATAGAAGGTGTGAAATATCAGAATTTCCTGGAGTGCCCATTGGACTATTACCAGATATTCTAAAAGAAGACAATGTAATGATACTTTCCTGAAAAAAGCAAGGAAATCAACACATGCCTTCATACTTTATTTTGTACCAGAAAATAACATGTGCAGCTATAGCAATTTTTTGCCAAAATGTTATTTTCCAGCTGTACCTTAATGCCTTGTATGAAACTGAAATGATTTTTGAATAGATTTTAACAATAAAAGTGTGTGTCACCATATAGCCTCCCTTTTAAATATAATAATTATGAACCTACTTACCAAAATTGGTCTTGTTTGTCAGTTGTATATCTTATTAGCCAGAGTTCTATAGTTCCATCTGAAAACAGGATGTTCATATATACGGGATGTTTAACTTAAACACACTGTGACTTCTATTGCCTTTACATGATGCTGTTATTTTTTACATTTACATATGTCAATACATTTATTTAGGTGTAATGTGGTTACTTTGTATACACACTTTTTATACAAGTTCACAGAGATTTACTTCACTTAGGGGAGGCATCAAAAGTTCGATGTCGGATAGAAAAATAAATAAATCTAGTTAGGGGGGAGGGGTTCAAACCCATTTCAGTTTGCTATCCGACAAATTTCAACATTTCAAATTTTTGGCAATTTGGACTCAGAATGCCTTGGAATGGTTTAAAAATAAAGATTTTACCTGATGGTTTCTTCGTCAATATCATTTCAATGGATTATATTCTATCAATAGTTATAAAAAGCCGCAAATTACGTTAGGAATTAGCATAAACTAGATTGTGTTTAGCAATAATTTTTCAAATTCTCAAACCGGAAGTCAGCAATCACTTTCATGGTATTTAGTTTTTGGGGGAGGGGGGGGGGGTCAGAGTCAAAACTAGATTTATTTAGTTTCCGATCTGACATCGAACTTCTGATGCCTCCCCTTAGGGAAGGTATCAGTTATCAATTTTACAGCAAAAACAGGTGTACAGTTAAACCTGTATATCTGAACACTTGAAATGTGAACACCTGTCAATCTTAATACTTTTGACAGTTCCCAGTGGTGTTTGGATTTAATTAGGCAGGTTTTACTTTAATTGCTTAAAGGCAAAAAATATGCACAAACTGCACATTATAAAGTACTGTATAAAAGACCAGAGTGATTCTTATGTGTATCAATAGAATCAATGCAGAATCCCATAAATTTGTGACTTTAGTTCTCATCACTTTTGTTTAAGAGGGATGAGTCAATGATTGTACAGATCACTTTCATTTTTTATTGTAAGTCATTATATTGATATAAAAAACAAAACCATCCTTAACAATAATAAGTGTAGACGCCACTAAATTGAATCTTCCTAACTGGAGGACATACGCATGGGACAATATTGTATCAATGTAGGCCCAAAGATTTGATTATGTTTAGGGGAGTGAAAAATCCATTAAGTTTTGTCAACTTGCATTAATTTTAAAAGCCCCCATATAAAGTTTAAACCATTTTGGCTTATATTGTAGTCTTAAGCAATGTTATCAATATGATAGTGATATACATGTTTTAATTTTTCAAAAAGTGGTTCTTGTAGAACCTTTTGCTAAAAAAATAATGACTTTAATTCCATAAAATCAATGTTCAGGTATGTTTTTGGGGAGGGGGGTCAATAGTACACTTTATCCCTGAGTTTTAGGACAACATCTTAACATTGACTGAGTCCCTAAAGATAAGGTTTCAAAGATACATGCAGTATGTGTCATTTGATATCTTATAGAGTTTATTATTGTTTACTTTACAGTTTTTTGTATTGAATTTCCTATTTTTTAAAGCAAACAGCACATGTATTTGAGTTTGACTGTATCTTATGCTATTAAAAGCAATGGCATTAGTTGTGTAAATTATTGTCTTATCTTAATCTATTAATTCTTAGGGGGGAAAAGGAAACATATTAAAAGGGAGCAGTCCGTTGCAACGTAGACAATACAATCCTAGTTAATGTAGTTGTTTACAAGCGATAAATGGCTCAAAGCTATAGCATAGGAGCAATGATTTTAAAAATGAAGCATAAGTATGTCATGGTCATTTGTATGGTCATGTACATGTATCCACTTTATTGTAAAGTAATTTTGGGCCCTTGGGTGAACAACTACCTTAATAATAGAAAGAGAGTTTAAAAACTGAATGTAGTCCCGATACAAGTCAGATCACAATGACCCGTCAGTCAATATGGAACGGATACTTCTTTGTACAGTTCCATGTTTTAACTGTTTGTAACATTACATTTTCTTCCCTTTTATTCTCTTTAACATTCGCATTTTCTCAGTGACTTCTCCCCGACCTTATGTGCATGTAATAAAGTCCCGAGTAATTTTATTAGGCCAGTACAATATTGCTAAAAAACATTCTTCCCTCATATTCTTGGTCAGCTTAGCCATGGTACCATAGTACCAATCTTGTATTTGATAATTAAGCTATGGGTCTTTCTGAAGACAGTTGGAGGTTTTAGTCACTCTTTTTTGTTTTGAATTTGTCAGAAATAGCATAAGTTACATTTATCTCCCAAGGATTAAAGATGTTTATTCGTTATGATAATTATTCATTTCATAATAATTAAAGATGCTGTTAATTCATTAAAATTGTACACTTTGAAATATCAAGTCTACAAAAAATGAAAATACATTGCTTAAAAATATCTTGGAACATATGCAACTGTTTGTCAACAGCCTGTAGAGACATGTACATGTACATCATAGTTTGAGGTCAAATGGTACACCATGACCTGATATACTCACGTCTTATCGCTGCAAATTGTGGGGAAATGTCTGTCAGTATATACCATCTTTTCTTTTCACTTTTCATTCTTTTCACTGTTTTTTATCATATACGTATGTTAGTTGTTCTTCTTGGCTATAAAGATATCTTAAGAAATTAAAAAAGTCTCACCTTCTTATTGGCTTAAGATCAGTATGATACACCATCTTCTTCGATCAATATTTACTCAATATTGTTTAAACTGTTTATTCTCTAATCCCTATTATTAAGTTGTATTGTAAGAATGCTGTTCAAAGTGCTTACCTATGTTCATATGGTTTTGGCAGCTCTATTTCTTGACACGGAGCTTTTGAAGTTGCTTTTTGTTGTTTTACTCGCTAGATTGATAGTAATGACTGAATAAATGACATTTACAATACATCCGTCGTATTTGTTTCATTTTTCATCTGAAACTGCCGAGAAATTCACCAACATTTTTGAGGAATTGGTCTATTTCAATTTCAGAATTCACAAGTTTTACTTGCAGAATCAATCATTTCAACTTTATGATTCATATTATAATTTTGTTGTTCAGTGTGACAAATACAAAAATTGATATCATTGTGTGCTGCCATCTTTCCAACAATTGAAAACATTTACAGACCTGAGGTTGCCCTTCTAAAATCTCAAAATTGTAAGACTCAGTGGAAAGAAGATACATAAAAACAGCCTGTTTTAAGGACTTATAAACCCAATATAGAATCCCTCCCCAGGTATAACCTGTATATATAAATATGAGAAATTAAATGATTTTTGCAGGAACTGACTGAAAAGCTGATAGAAATGATCGGGTTAACAAATATTGACATTCAGCGGGACATCATTGCTTGCATACCAGAGGTGCTGGATGATAGTGAACACAGTAATGTCGCCCGTCAGCTCAGGTATGTAAATATAGCATAGAATGTATCCTCAGCTTAGTCTTGGCAGCTACTCCCAGTTTTAGGTATGAACTTGCAGTGGATCTTTAAAATTATCTTTTGAAAATTTATTCCCACTCAGAGAGTTCCCACTCTAAGATTTTCAGAAAGCCTCTTTTTCCAAAAATGGTCCAATTTTCCTAAAACGACAATTGACAATTGCTAATGTCAGCTGATAGATATCATTCAGGTATAGACTTTGTTTAACCATTCTTGAGTAGGTAACCAGAAGAGTTTCTTGAACTATGACATCACAATTTCCATGGTAACAAGTAACATCAATGGATAAAGGAATCTTCATATCAAAGAAGGTTTTGGCAATGTCCCAATGTTCCATGTTGAGTCCTCCATTTCTATGGAAAGCATAGAATACTGTAGATAAGAGCCGACTGTTTAACATACAGTAAAACCTGTCTAATCTGAATGCCTCTGTGACCAACTAAAAACGTCTGGATAAGCAGTTGTTCACATTTCAAGTTATTTCCAACAAGTAGGTAAAAGGAAGATAATTTACATAATCGGGACCAAGAAAAAAAATTCACATTGAGAAGTGTTTGGACTAGAGAGGTGTTCGGATATACAGGTTTCACTGTATTATGCGCTGTATTATTTTCCAGGGACTTGCTTCTGGAGAGCAATGAGTTGACTGTTCCCATATTAGATGCTCTTACAAACCTTAACATACCAGCTGATCTTTTATCAGAGGTAATGAACATTTTTAATTTTAAGCAATTTGTTAAATATGGCACCAGAGATGTTTACCTCAAATACATTTTGTCACATTGATGCCCTTTGTTTCTATGGGAGAGTGATTGTTGGTAATTTGTAATGGACAAGGACATATTACAAGTTAATGAACAACAATTTATGTCTCAGGTATCCGTGTCTTCGATATCTTACTGGGCGATAATTTATTTAAATACTGGAAGAATTAATTTTCAAGATAACTGCCACCATTTTTTCATGAAAAATTGCTCCAATTTCGAGAACTTGAATGGATGTCATATCATGGATGTAGAATATGCCAAAAGGAGACAATTACTTCTCCTGGTATTATCATTAGACTGATGAGTGATTTGATGAAATGTCTTATGTTTGGTTGGATTCATTTCTTAGCGGAGTTACCATCTTTTCTAGTTCTGATAGGTTCTGTATTTTCCTTTTCCAGATGCAGGGCACTGTGTTACGAACTCTCAAATCTGTAGCTCTAGACGACCTGCCAGTTGTTGTGAAATTCTTACTTCAGACAGCAACAAGCAAGGATGTGGCGCAGGTATGTAGCTATTTGCCAAATCCAGACACAAGTTATTGAAACAGATATTGTATACAGAGCTTATTAACTTATATCTATCGTATATAAATAATAGATATAAAAGAAATCATCTTCATCCAATAAACAATCTCAGACAATTAAATATGTTTTATGCAATGTCAGGAATAATGTGATTTTGTTACATACATTTTTACTTTACATTTGTTTGTAAATCTCAGATTGGCATGCTTTTGCAATTCTGTATTCATAACTACTTAGAAATTTTCAAGTGGATCACCTCGTTAAGAGGAACATGCGGTATGCATGTGGAAGGTTTTTAGGTCTTATCGCCAATTAACTGAACTGTATATGAATGATGTATTGACTGTTTCATACTTATAGGTAGTCTCTGAGCTACGTCAGAATTTAGATTTTGAGTCCAGTTTTCCTCCAGTCTCTTCCTCAACTCCACATACTAACAGAAGGTCGAAGATTGTGTAAGAACTTTTTAGATTTTTTGAGCAAAAGGTTTTCGTAAATTTGTGTTTTGAAAGAACAACAGGAAAGGAATACCATTTAATGCTGACATGTGATTTTTTGATATATGTGTAAATTATTGAATGAATAATGACAAAACCATGAAAATTAAACAAAAGACATGTAAATGTTTTCAGTATACCACAGATTCAATTTAGACATGAGTTTACAAAGAAACCACATGGTTTTAAAATATACTTGAAATAAATTTAAAGGCTGCGATAAAACCCTGTGTATATGCATGTAAAAATATTTACAATTCCAGTAAAGAAAATAGCAAGCAGGGTGTAGAGGCTTTGATCCTTGATGCTATGCGCTCTGCAGTGCGGTTCCAGAAGAGTTTGGCAGATACATGGATCAAGGTATTCCCACTTATTATATTCCCACTTATTATATTCTCTCTTATTATACTCTCATTCCATTTGGTCACTCATGAATATATCATATACTCACTTGAGCATTAACATGATATACAGAATCAACAATATATAAATGTAACCTCATAGTATACTGTATACTGAAAAAGCAAAACCAGCTGGTTTAATATACAATATTCCCTATTTTAAAGCACGCAGTGAAACTAAAGAGAAATATGATATGAATTATGCAACTTTTTGAATAGTGTAAACTCCAGATATATGGCATGGCTATTTCTAAAATTTACTGAAAACTGCTCTCTCATTGTTGATTCTCACTATTTTAGAATGAAAAGTGCTCGGAATGTTGAAAAATTGAAAAGATTTTGGCTACTGGGGCCCGGGATTCACCCGAAACCTCTGAATCCTCTGGCTACAAGAACTATAGCTGTTTCTAAAATCGTCTTGAAATTGTTCTTATATTATTGATTCTCAATATTTAAAATAATGATCTAATCTAATATTGTAGGTGATAGAGACAGTGAAGACACCATCAGACCATAAAGTGATCGACATCTTCCTATTGATCATAATCCATAGCTCCACATCACGCAAGAAACCTGTGGAGAGTCTTCTCCGTAATAAAGTCAGGAAAGGTGCCATCACAGAGATGCTCCTTCAGGTCACATTTGGGGGACATGCTGAGGTGTGTAAACAGTTTACTGAGAGATGAAAGAATCCACTCGTTTACTAGTTTGATTTTTAGCAGTTTAAATGTCACTACCAGAGGTGGTGACATATCGTTATAGTCTTCAGCTTTTTTGTGGACAATGTTCATTGGTCGGAGTTTAACATCTGTAACAAACTTCCAATAACTGGTAGATGGTGCCTTGTTTAATTGAAATTGAAAATGTCATTCTTTGAGATCCAACCTCAGAACATATCTGAGAATAACTCATGTTGACCCAAAGACATGTTTCACATGCTATTTATCTTCCAGGCTGTCTCAGACCAAGTCATGTTAAATCAAATAAAGATATTATGTGACTTCAACTTATACTTTGCAGGTATTACGTGACTACTTTCCATCCATTTTACACCTGGCTGAGGTGCTACTGAGGTCCCCTGAACCACAAGTCAGCAGTTTTGCAGGTTCCATGTATAAACACGCATTCTCATCATTCGACTCATATTGTCAACAGGTTAGGTCGTTTTACTTTCTATTATACAATGACTGTCTCTACTAATAGGACCTCAGTATAATTGTAAAGTACAAATTGTATAGTGGTTGAATTTGAAAATATAATCACCATGGAGATAGAAGACAAACATATTGATACAAGATGATGAAATTGACTTGATTCAAACTGATTTAATTTCTTAATATAAACGGCAAATTCTCTACAAGAAAACAAACATATGTAATGTTTTTCAAAAAGATTACGTATTGATGTAATACAATAATTATTCCATCAAATACATGTAATATACATGTATTATCAAAATATTTCTGTTCTCTTGATCAATGCACTGTACAGGGTGTCAAATAAATATGTTCTCCCCCTAAACTTTAACATCCACAAAATGTTGCACAACATTTTAGTCTGTATGATATCTGCATTGTTCTTTAGCACCTTAAACTAGGCTCCATGAAGCAACTCTTAAAGTAGTCTCAGATGACTTGCTCAACTTTGTGCACTTTTATGCACAAAAGTTAATACTCTTGAAATCAAGGGGAGAACATATTTATTTGTACATGTACATGTTGGTGTGTATAACATTGTTTTACTTTGCTTGCTGTATTATAGCCTTTCTTCTATTGCTTCTATTTGACTTCAAAGAAACATTAAAATACAAAGAAACATTAAAATACAAACGATGACATGATCTGTCAAAATCATTATTCATTTGTTCCCCCCAACATAAATTTTATTATATGCCTTCTAACATTATGATACATGATCCATCAAAATTTTTCATTCGTTCCCCCAACATAAATTTTATTTTATTTGCCGTCTAAAATAATGATACAAATGTACTTAGATAAATGTTTACATCATAAAGATTGTGTATTACTAACTTTTCTCAGGAAATAGTTGGCCAGCTGGTAACTCACATTGGGAGTGGTATGACAGCTGAAGTAGATGCCTCTTTAGCCATCCTAGCAGACCTTGTTAATACAAACTTACAGCGGATGGCACCATTTGCCATATTTGTTAAGGTAAGAGTATAATTAATTTAAGTAATGAATAAACATATTTTCAAGTATAAGATGAGAGGCTATACAGCAAAACCCTTTTAGAGTAAGAGTTTAATTAATTTAAGTAATGAATAAACATATTTTCAAGTATTACATACCCAGAGAAGCATTTGTATTGAAGTCAATGGAGCTGAAGGTCGGCTATATATTCCTGTATAGCCGCCAAACCTTTTACCATGACAATCTTATGACGTCATCGGGACGTCATGTTTCATTTCTTCCTAATTTCACTCGCACACAGACACGTGGCGTCATTGATATAACGTAGCCATGATATAAAAGTATGTAATACAACAGTTATGTCCGTATCATTGAATATATGCCTTCGGTCTGTCGTAATATAACCCTCGCAAGCTCGGGCTATATTGGTGACAGACCTTAGGCATATATTCAATGATAGGGACATAACTGCTAAGTATAAGATGAGAGGCTATACAGCAAAACCCTTTTAGAGTAAGAGTTTAATTAATTTAAGTAATGAATAAACATATTTTCAAGTATAAGATGAGAGGCTATACAGCAAAACCTGTCTTAGTGCAAAACCCTTTTTATAGTGAACCCTTCTTCAAGAAACATTTTACATTGGATTCTGTATAACATTTCTTCTCTATAGTGATCACCTACCTACAGTGAACATATTTTCAAGTATAAGATGAGAGGCTATACAGCAAAACCTGTCTAAGTGCAAAACCCCTTTTCTAGTGAACCCTTCTTCAAGAAACATTTTACATTGGATTCTGTATAACATTTCCTCTCTATAGTGATCACCTACCTACAGTGAACACTTTTTTGTGGCTCCATAGATGTTCACTGTGTACAGGTTTAATCAACATTACTGTCATTAGCATGGACTCTTATCAACATTAACTTAATGGACTTCATATCAGCATGGGCATAATCATCAAATATCGTCAGCACGCATCATATTTTTAACATGAACTTTATTGCCTGAATTATTTATTTGTAAATAATTGACTCTGTATATATCATGATATATGTCATGATTGTTTGTCTGTCTGTCTGCATGCAACAGTTGCAAGTTTTATAACATCTGATTTTATAAGCTCTTTTTGCTCTATTATAGAAAAAAGCACCATGTGAGGATCCCTTAATTTCAAAACAGACCCCAGTTTTGTCAACAAAAAATTTGAAAATGAGTCTGTCTAAACAATGGGGGGTGATTTTCCTTCAAACTGATTGTTTAAAGATATCGGGGTTTTGACTAAAAATAAGCATTAAGCAGTATAAAATTCTTTTTTTCAAAATACAATCTCCCTAACTTTTCATTTCACTCCAAATTTTCTTATCTCTCAAATTCTCCCAAAATTCATAACTCCAGAAATAACCTGTAGTCCATTTTCAGTAATCAGATCAATACTTTGAAAAATAACATGAACACATTGTTAGAGAAATCGAAGTTCAATTTATTAGACATTCATTTATCAACCTTATTTCCATTTTTCAAATACTACATATTACATAGGAACAAGTGCTACTAATCATTAGCCTGTGAATAAATATAGTACTGGAACTTCTTTTCCTGCCTTGTGCTATTCAACACATAAGGTATGGTCATTAAGATCTAATTTGACAGATCCATGCAGCATCACTTTGGTCTGCATGCCTGTAATCTTGGCTAGACTCAAAGTGATAATGCATGAAACTTTAGTGTCCTTGGAAACACATCTAATCTACTCACAAAATACTAGGCTATAGGTATGGCCATTAACATCTAATTTGACAGATTCATGCAGCTTCACTTTGGTCTGCATGCCTGTAATCTTGGCTAGACTCAAAGTGATAATGCATGAAACTTTAGTGTCCTTGGATACACATCTAATCTACTCACAAAATACTAGGCTATAGGTATGGCCATTAACATCTAATTTGACAGATTCATGCAGCTTCACTTTGGTCTGCATGCCTGTAATCTTGGCTAGACTCAAAGTGATAATGCATGAAACTTTAGTGTCCTTGGATACACATCTAATCTACTCACAAAATACTAGGCTATAGGTATGGTCATAAGGATCTAATTTGACAGATTCATGCAGCTTCACTTTGGTCTGCATGCCTGTAATCTAGGCTAGACTCAAAGTGATAATGCATGAAACTTTAGCGTCCTTGGAAACACATCTAATCAACTCACAAAATACTAGGCTATAGGTATGGTCATTAGGATCTAATTCGACAGATTCATGTAGCATCACTTTGGTCTGCATGCCTGTAATCTAGGCTAGACTCAAAGTGATAATGCATGAAACTTTAGCGTCCTTGGAAACACATCTAATCAACTCACAAATACTAGGCTATAACAAATAATGCGAATAAATAACGATACAGACTTACAAATATCTTCTTATTGCATTTTATAAGACAGATCTTAATTCAACAGATTCATGCATCATCACTTTGATGTCTGTATGCCTGTATTCATGGTATACAATTTATATGTACCAGATCATTGCACTTACATAACTCTTACATAATTCTCATTTCAATACTGACAGAGTTACAATATGCGTGTGGGCATGACATGTACATCATCTGTGGCAAACAGAGCCTATGAATATTACCAAAGTATGGCTCAATATCTGTTGCATTGTTAGTACAAGGTGCACAGTCACTGAACCACCACCCAACACCGCCCATTTCTTCTGCACAGTGCCTTGTTGTAGAGGCATCGTTATCCATGTCATTGGCTGAGAATTTCATACCTCTGATTCCAAGGAGGGGATCATATGATTGACTCTCGGACAGAAGGTAGTCTTGGTCTGTTAAACAAGCTTCAGTATTTAGTTTACTTAAACAAGTGACTTTTAACAGTTCCCCCAATGTTATTTTGTATTGTTCTTGTTCATTAGCAACATGGATATAATTGTACTCAAATTTATACTTTGTTTCAGGGAAACCTGAGTTTATTTTCGATTCCACCGCTAAAGAAAGGGAGTGTGACCTAGTACTTGTGATATTATGTAACTTATCAAGTCCAATGAAATAATTTGAGCGGGTAGCATCTGGATTGTTTATGAATCCAGTCTTGTAGTCTTGCCATGGCCTTACAAATGTACTCTCAGCAAAATTATAATATTCCAGTATTTTCGTTTTTGTTTGACTACATCGGGCTTGCATAGGGGTTGAAAGACCAGCTGGCCATGTAGGTAGATTCTTTACTCCTGGAACAGGCCATCTACTTTGAGCCTCAACACAGTCTGCAAAGTAGATTGACTCTATAACCATGACATATAAATGATATATCATTCACTACATTTTGGTTTGAAAACTGTTTGGTTCATTTTTATCCCAATGAACAAAGTTCCGTAGGGATATAGTGAAACCCTTCGTCCGTCAGTCAGTCTGTCTGTCTGTCCGGAAGATAACTTGAATACTAGTAGACTGATTTTCTTCATATTTGGTGGAAAGTTTATATCAGTGATTAATTTTACGCAAAAACAATTTTTTAAGATGGCCAACACTTAAAAATGGCAGGACTTTTTCGCAAAAATCATAAATTTTTCATTTTAAACCAAAGTTATAAATATTATTGTTTGAAATTTTAAAAGTTTATTCACAACATCTTACTATTTCACATATATTCAATGTATTGCACCTTTGACCCCCCAGGGGCCATGAATGGGGGGTCGGGAAAACAGGAATTTGCATTAATTTTTAGATCTTTCTGAAGTATAGCTTTGTTGTACTCAAATGAAAGGCAATTTAGAGTAGATTGCAAATATTGTATCTTTGTCTGATTTGGCCCTTGTAAAATTCAAAATGGCTGCCTAATATGAGATTTTTCAATAATTTTTGACACATTTAAAGAATGGCTTTATTATACTCAAATTGAAGGAAATTTAGAGTAGAGGTTTTTCTGATTTGTGCCTCAGAAAATTCAAAACGGGACCTAGCAGTGTGTGAGTGGTCTGACATGTCTCAGAGCAAAACAGGAATTTGCATTAATTTTGAGATCTTTCTGAAGTATACCTTTATTATACTCAAATGAAAGGCAATTTAGAGTAGATTGCAAATATTGTATCGTTTTTCTGATTCGGGCCTCGTAAAATTCAAAATGGCTGCCTAATGTGGGATTTCGCAATTGTTTTTTGATCTCTTAAAGTATTGCTATATTATACACAAGACAAAATCGTATGAAATAACTTGCGATAAGCTAGTTATTAAGCTTGTTATTATGGTCTTACTAGTGGTTATTATTGAGTAATGGTACAGGTATTCGATATGGTATTGCAGCTTACACTTAAGTAATGGTACACGTATCCTTGGATTTTAGGCCCGAATACCGAGGTTTATTTTTTTAATTATCGTGTATTATTATTTTGTGTTAATATTAGTTAACCATCTAACTATTGGCATCATATGATAACCTTGTTATATTAATATAGCGCATAGGCGTAGCCAGGGGGATGTGATGTGTGCGATCGCACCCCCCCCCCCTCCATAACCAATGAAAATAGAACCATTAGATAGAAGAAAAAAGTCTTAAAATGCTTTTTATTTGAAGCTTCTAGCTCGATTTTGAACGAAGTTGCACCAATTTTTGTAAAATTCAAAACAAATCTTCAAAAACATTTTTTTATGCCACGATCGCACCCCCCTCCCTCCCCCCGACTGAAAGCTGGCTACGCCACTGTAACGTGTCATCAATACGCTACATTTTGTATGTTCAATTTGTATACTAAAAACTGTTATTAATCCACAAATTTAGATGAAGACAAGATAAAAATTCGAATCAAGAATGAAAAGTTGTCTAAGTATATAAATCTTAAGGGTAATGCATATTTGAATTAAACAGAGGCGGGTTAATTTATATTGTGCTATGAATTACGCTATTATTCAAAATTGCAGCTAAGATGCCTGTTTTATGATACCCTGCGTGCAGAGTCTAGTTAAACTACACTAAGACGAAGGTCTCTTTTAAGAAGTGAAGTCAAATGAATGCAAAGGGTAGTTTTATGAAAAATATCACGGAAGATGTATTCTAGATATCAGTAGTATTCTCAGAAATTTATTATTCGAAACGGATAACATCTGGCCACTCAGACAAACAATCGCAGACATAGGCTAAGCTTGTTTATTTAACAGTTAGATTTGTTGACTTACCGATCCGTATTTCAGTCTCCGGGAAGACGTTCTTTTCACTTTGTATTTGCGTGCAGTGTAATATAAGTTGATACTTTTGTTCAAAAAAATGTACTTTTAATGGCCATTTTATTTTCAAATTATGTTTTGTTTTGATGTCAGTGTGAAAAGACAAGAAACTTCAACCCCGACTTTTAATTAAAAAATGTTGGCTAATCACTTATGGCAAATCACAAGGTTGATTATGTCAACGGACCATGATCGTGGAAGGCTATCAATATCAGGTGTTTATCGCATAGAAAATAAATATAGCTAATTTTTCGCACTGATATGATGATGACTATTCTGGCGAATCGGGTAGATATTTCTCAGTTTTTTCCGATAATAAAACTATTCATTTCTATCAATTTTACAAACGGGGTCCTTTGACTGCACATTAAAACTATAAAAGTATTTATTGGGCGTACATACTCGTTCTGTCATGTTACTTACATTTCATTTGCAAGTTGTCAACAAATTAATCCGGCGTTTTGTTTAATCAAATTTCCTGCCCCTTGGGGTTTCCGACTGTAAAACTTTTAATACTAACCAATGCTTCAGTTAATATTTTCAGAATACAAATTTTCCATTTTTATTTCTCTGATAGATAAAGTCTCATTTTGAATCTGTTCGTGTATTAAAGAGTATGCTTTTATAATGCCGTGGTCACATTTGCTCAGATTTTCAGCACCGGCGCCCGGCCGATGAGTATTTTGTTCAAAATTGTATTCAATTCTGAACAAAATACTCAATCGGCCGGGCGCCGTAATGAAAATCGGAGCAAATGTTACCAGGTCATAACTGATGAAAAATCAAATGAGAACATGAACATGGATAATAGGGGCACTATTACGCTGCGTGCAGACTCTGCAGTGCAGAGTCTAATTATAAACTACGAGAAGACGAAACTCTCATTTAAGAAGTGAAGTCGAACAAATGCAAAGGGTAGGGTACTATAGAAGGGGATCATATAAAAGCACGATCTATTTCACAACGCCTTTAACTTTTGTTCTTCAACTGTTGCCCTTTGTGCATTTCAAAAATAAAATATCTTAATCTGATTTGTTCCACTTTTCTTTTCGCTCAGTTCTGCAATATTATGTCCATATGTTGTTTAGCATTATGTCATTTGCGAAATAGCTGTAAGACATTATGAGAATGAATATGGGAGTTTCCACGATAATGTTGTTCACATGATTTTATACACATACCTGCATAACAATCGGAGACAGAAGTCTTAATATTGTCCAATAAAAAATAAGAATCTAACATTTAATGATAACAAAAGGATTAATTGCTTAGTTCTCTTTGTTTTAGTCTTTGTTTTCTTAAATGCGGAAGTGTACCAACATCACCTAGATTACATAAGAGATCATCTAACAGTCTAAAATTGCTTTTAATTGCAAGTTAATGCATTCCGACCAAAATTTGTATACCTGTAATTTGGGGGGGCGATGTTACATCACATAACTACAACGTTCATATAGAAATATACAATAAGCATGTCCGTATAAAAGCTAAAATTATAAAAACTCATTTCAAAGTCATTCTGTTCATGGAAGCGTCAAGTTATGAAAAACAATGCTAAACACTAAAACAAATCGACTTGATTAACCTTTAAAAACTTCTTGAGAGGAAATGGACAAATGTATTTTTCTAACTCATTAGAACGTCTGTCTGATTGAAATACTATTTTTTAAATACAAACATAAATGATTTAATCTTGGTCAGAAGTCTGAACATTGTCCAACAAAATAATAAGAATCTAACATTTAATGATTACAAAAGGATTAATTGCCATATAGTCTTTGTCTTAGTCTTTGTTTTTCTAACGGCGGAAGTGTACCAACATCACCTTGATTACAGAAGAGATCATCTAACAGTCTAAAATTGCTTTTAATTCCCGGGTTTTAATTACATTTTATGTATAGACTTTTTTGCCTCTATTCTCATTTTTAAACCTATTTCTGTTTGCGTATTTAACAATTGTGATAAATTATTCAGTTAGTGTCGAAATCAAAACAATTTTCTACATTATAGTCCCCTCCTCTTGCACTGACTAAATATTAAAATAAGCCAGTCTGATTGCGAATTTACAAATCCTGTAAAAGTAGCTTCAAACCGCCTTTTAATCAGAGAAAACAATAAGTTAATTCATCTGATTGCGAAAATACGAATCAACCTGATTATCTGATCTCCATGCTATTTGATTCGTGCATTATCTACAAGTCAGTTGGGCAAGGGTGAAATTATTTCATTTGAAAACAGAAATAAATATCAGAACCCCTCTAGCATAACTATTCGGAAGAAATTCATACAAAAAATAAGGTACACAACTGATGAAGGGTCGCACACAATGCACGCACCCCTCTCCTACTCCTCCGTGTTTGCCCACACACGACCATATTTGACAATTTTTCTAAAAGCGTTTTCCCCGGGAATATAGGTGTAGCGGTTGCCAGAAGTCACAGCTTGGGAGTCAGGGTATCCTGATCCATGCCTCAACGCCTGACGGGTCTGATATTTAGAGGGGGCGCAAGAATTATTAGGGGGCGAGGTAAACGTGAAAGTTGCCAAAATATCCATAGGCGTAGCCAGGAGGGGGGGGGGTGCGATGGGTGCGATAACAATAGGCTTTATATATGCTTTAATGTTTTATTTATCATGATGCTTTTATGTAGGCTATTAATTACAGTTCTTTTTGCAATATAAAACTGGTATGTTTATGCAAATTCCGATTGGACTAATATAAAGGGATATTGTTTCATTATGTGGACTTGAGAAAGTCCGACATACTCATTGCTTTCAACCCAAAACTTAAAATAGGAAGTTATCAAGATCCCAAGAACACGATCGCTACTTAAACAATACGTTTGTAAAATCCCGGCGATCGAAATGCAATCAAACTTTCGCAATCAGGTGCCTAATTAGTCTTTTGATCTCTAAAGTTTTACGACTGAATGTTTCAATGAACTCGTGAGAAGCAAACGCAATCATCATATAAACATTTTTCTAGTAAATCTAAAATAGAGTAAAACCCAGGGAAAAAGATCGCGTGTTCATAGGAATTAGGCATATTTCAATTTTGAAATAACAAAAGTCAGTCTCGGAAGAATTTTCCAAGCATTCACTGCTTCGATGCGTTTTTATTGCAAGGGCCGTTTAGCGCCGATATGAATTCAT